TGGAATAATAAATAGCTGAATCCAAAAAGAATCAGTCGCTTATGAAGTTAGTCCCTGTTTTTCGGTCAACCTGTGGAAGATTCCAGCCGTGGCTCTGGTTCAGGACAACTATTCAAGTTGATGAAGATTTCAAGATTCATTCATTCATTCATTCATTCATTCATTTTCACGCCCTTTATTGTCCATTTCTGGGTCAGGGGGGTGGCAATGAGAGCTGCCACCCAATGCTCATAGCACCAGTCCCTCTGATCCTCTGCAGGGGGTGAGTCCACAGGAAGATGGCTGCTCTGTCAGCGGTGAAACAGCCTTGGTCTTTCAGCCGGGGCTTCAGGCTACGTGGGGTTAAGTGTCTTGCCCAAGGACACAACGACAGTAGACATCAGTGGGAGCAGTTGGAGTAGGTCCCATGGTGGGAATTGAACTCACGACCTCCAGGCTCAAAGGCCACTGATTTCAAGATTGTACTTTTTAAAACCTACTTCAGTTTGTGTTTAAAATCAGCCCGGGTGACTTTCAGCGGAGGACTAAAACTGTCACGGAGGCAGAATTGCAAAAATGATATAATTTAATAATAAATGGCACAAGAAAAATCATATAAAAGTAATAATCAGGTACAAGACAAGGCGAAAAACATGAATGGACTGACAACAAGAGAGTGCACAGGGTATTTAACTGGGAGACACAGGTGCGAGACATCGGGGCGGGGCAGGAAACAGGAAGTACAACTTGAAAAGACACAGGAGAAAACATGAACTAAAAATGACAGCCATGACAAAAACAAGTTACCAGAGAAAAGAGTCCGCCTTAACCTGTTTCTTGGGGTAAAAGGTGATGTTTTGGAGCTTATAGAAAAACCAACTTTGTGTGTGTTTAACCGCGGTCACCTGGACTGACCGCTCGGACCACCGTGAGGCGGCTAACAACCTCGCCATCCCCCACGTTCTTTCTGCCCACAACTGTAGTCGACTGTGGAGAAGCTTTTACCTCCGGGACTCCCTGCGATATATAGTTTTAAAGTGTGCGGAGCCGGAAGCCTCATCAAAATGGCCTTTTTCACTCATGAACGTGACTTTGGGAGACAGTACAGAGTTGGATTATTATCAAAATCTGTGTTCTCAGATTGCGAACCGCAAAATATAGCAAAGACAGGCTGGTTAGCTCAGTTGGTCAGAGTGTGGCGCTAATCATGCCCTTTGAGAAAGTTCTTGGGATTAAGAACGAAACGTCGGAAAAGCAGCTAACTGAAGTACAGATGATGGGTGAGCACACTTTTATATAGCAAAGATAGCAAATATAGAAAATATAGCAGGGTCTTACAGTTTTTTTGTATGTGACTGAGCCGGTTTGTGTTCCCGATGCTCAAACTGGGCTGTTTCTGTACAAATATGAAAAGTGCGTCCGAAAAGCCGTTCTTTCTATTCTTTTCTATGAATAGTCCTTTCAGCAGAACACACTGCTTATGCACACACACAAAGACCTACTCACACGCACGCACGCACGCACGCACGCACGCACGCACGCACGCACGCACGCACGCACGCACGCACGCACGCACGCACGCACGCACGCACACACACACACACACACACACACACACACACACACACACACACACACACACACACACACATACACACACACACACACACACACACACACACACACACACACACACACACACACACACACACACACACACACACACACACACACACACACACACACACACACACACACACACACACACACACACACACACACACACACACACACAAAGACATACTCACACACACACACACACACACACATACTCACACACACACACACACACGTCAGACCCGACACACCAGGAATGTGGCGTTAACATTCCTCCACATACATCCACTGACTCCAACGCTTTTTATTATTTGCCTCATACAATCTGTAGATGTGTTGTCACAGAAACACCTTATAGGCGGAACAGTGGCTTCAAGAAGGTCCTGGGTTCGAATCCCAGTCAGAATAGGGCCTTTCAGAGTAGAATTAGCTTGTTCTGCGTAGGTTTACTCTGTGGACTCTGGTAACTTTTTTTAGACTTAGGAAAAACCAATCTATTTCACCAAACATGTCGCGACTAATCCTGGATGGAGTCATAATAATACATCCATAACTCCTCTCTGCTATTCACATAAACATAAACCACAGGCCATAGAGCAATGTCCAAATGCTTTCCTGATACTGCACCACAATAGGAACACACACATTGGCCAAAGAGTTGAAAGAACTTGAAAAAAGTAGACAATTTTAGTCCGGCAATTTCAGCGGCTAACACCATGTAGCATAAATGATTGATTCATTCACTTTGAGTCACTATCTACTCAAAGCTTGAAACTGAAATCTACTTCTTTGGGGAAACAGACCAGGTTTAGGCACTTTTATCATCAAACTGCATCCCAACCATTTAGTAAAGGCCCATAATTAAAAAAAAAAAAACATTCAAGGGTTAAACAAACCCCCTCCACACATTGAAATTACAAGTGCAGACCACACTCAAACGCTTCTTCGCAGTTTCCTCAGACTCTCCACTTCCTGTCAAGTTATGATTGTGATACAGCGGCCGTGAGGACTTTCTCCACTCTCCAATCTCCCATCTCTGTCTGTTATAAGCAGTGCCTGCCAGACTTACCCACTGAAGTGCCATTTTCCCATTACCTCCCGCCTGATCTTTCACCCTTTCCCAATCAGCTCCGATAAGTTGTCCCCACACCCCCCCCCCCCCCCCCCCCCAAGCTACAAATCTCATCTCATCACCGCCACTGTCTGAGGACCGAGGGACACGGCTCCGCAACTCAATCAGCCTCTTCATATTGGGCTCCCCCGTGATCGTTCAGGGGTCCTGCCGCTCGGTCCCACGCCTTTTTTCCGGAGTCTGAAACCAGAGCTGGGAGCGGAATATTGAAGGAAACGTGAGAGAACATGTGGTTATTCTTGGGAATGAGTCAAATTTGGCGTGTGTGTGTGATGTCGCCCTAGAGAACTTTGGATTCTCCACCATTTCTGTTGAAAATGAAGGATTTTGGAAAGGTTCTTCGCACAGTTTTATTTACAGATTTACAGCTTTTTTTCAGACATAATGAAGACAGAGCAAGACATTTATATGACAGTATGCGTCACAGCAAAAGAGGCCAACCTGCAGGTGTTAGCTAGTCCAAACAACAGGGACATGACTGGATTCGCCGTGACCATAAAGAACTGGTCATCATGTCTTGCATTCGTCCATTTTGTTAGGGCCAGTCCACAAGCTACTTTTATGAAGCAGAAATGGCAGAGAGTTACCCCTTTTAGCAATCCTAATACAATTGTAGTCTGTGGAAGAACACCTTATGAACCAATGGCTCTATGTGCTTTTTATCCCTGTTCTGTTTGATTCTCTAATCTGTCTTGGCGAATCATCATTTTTTGGTAAAGTCCTCCAAGATGACTACTGTTGTGATTTAGAGCGATACCAAAATACATTGAATTGAATTGAATTTTGATGCATAGTTAAAGTAGATAAGTGCTGACTCAAAAGTGCATCATTTAGTATCATGTGTTAAATTCTTGAATCTTTTGGGGAGCTACCTGAAAACGGGTGGTGAGCTAATGCTTGCTCTACAGCCACAGGTTGGAGATCACTGCGTTAAAAAAATCAGCAACAAAACCCAGACCTGGAGTTGTTTTTAGCTTCATCTCTAACACCAGGATTTCTTGTCCCCGTCTCGTCCCTTCTCCTTCATTGTTGTCTGTGTTCATCCAATTTTGCCGATTTGGCAGAAATACCACGGAAAAAAGTTTCATTGTCTGTATTGGAAGCTAGTTCTTGTGAGAGGCATCTGCACCTCAGTGTACTCAGACTCATTGACAGTCTCCGGGGGTCCAGCTTCAGAGTCTGGGGTACAATGTGTGCGATTGGTTTGAACGTGGAGAGACAAACAAGTGAGATTTGAGCTTTAGAACCAGATCACATCCAATCAGAGTTAGCGGCTTACCTTTGGCCGGAAGATGGTCTTTTTCCAAGTCAATTAAACCAAACCGGCGACAGGGTGGGGCAGTGGTTAGCGTTTGTGATTCACAGCAAGAAGGTCCTGGGTTTGATTTCACCTCCAGGCCTGTCTGTGTGGAATTTGCATGTTCTTCCTGTGTCTGTGTATGTTTGCTGCAGTTTTTCCTATTACTAAAAATATCTATAATAGGTCTGCATGTTTATAAGTAAGTGAATGGTTGGTGAAAATATGCCGCATAATTGAATATTTCTTACTTATAATGCACAACATTACTTTAAGAGTTACAATTGTAAAGCTTTGCCACTCTGATGTTTAAGTAAGTACATGTAAGAAGCAAATTATCAAACTTGTTTTCCACTGCTGTTTGGAAATAGCAGTCAGGATCTGCTCCCTGCTGTCTCTCTCCCTCCCCTTCTGGGTTTGTCTTGTCTCCACCTTCCTGGGTGTGGCTACTCACCTGGCTCCACTTGCCACTCATCTCCAGCTGCATAAGAAGCCTCGTTCCCAGCAAGTCGATGCCAGTTCGTTGTCGCTTCTTATTAGTGAAACATTTATGGTCTCTGCGCTACGATTGTGATTATTTGTTGTACTTACCTCGCTTCCTGTGCGTAGATCCTGCCTGCCTGTCTGTTCCTGTCTGCCTCTGCCTGCCTGCCCCTGCCTGCCTCTGCCTCTGTCCACATCACGTGCTTCATTGCATATCCTCCATTGTAAATAAACCCTTCTCTCGCCGATCTGTGTCTAGTCTTGGGTTCTGTTAAACCGTGACAATAGCAGATTTCTTCTTTCTCCTTTGATTATAAACGAATTAATTGAAACACAGGAAATTGGCAAGAAGTAATGCCAATGTGTTAATGGAAGCGCTTGTTTACGTTATTATATTTATATATGTGTCTCTGTATAGACTAGACAAATAGACTCTATTTGTGTTAACCCACTTTTGGAGAGTCAGAATCCAGATAATGCCAAACCAGTGCCATGGGCCGAAGAGTAGGTAAGGTTCTGCTGGTGGGAGTGTTCCATGTGGTGTGTATGGTTTTGTTGTGGAATTTCTGCACAGGTCTTGAGCAAAAATAATGCAAACAACCAAGAGCTGTTATACAATCATTCAATCAGGAGAGACCCAAGACAGACACGTCAATGCATTTAGAAATATTTATTGTTTGCTGCATTGACCCCGGCAGGGAAACTTGCAGAGGGGAGATCACTGCTGCTGTAGATGAGCTCAGATCCCCCGGGGTCAAGCACTGGCTAGAAGCATGGGGTGAATGGGGCATAGGCGGAGCAGGAGCCAGAGCAGGAGCCAGAGCAGGAGCCAGAGCAGGAGCCAGAGCAGGAGCCTGGAACTTGAGGTGCTGGGGAGGCGGTGGGTGTCAAGAGCTTCAGGAAGCGCTGATTATTAGGAAGTGGCTGCTTTTCAACTGCCGGCTTTGCTGTCAGTCTATGGCAGGGGGGCTGTCCGAGCTCTGCGATTGGCTGAGGCTCGAGGCTGGCAGAGCTGTGCGATTGGCTGAGGCTCGAGGCTGGCAGAGCTCTGCGATTGGCTGAGGCTCGAGGCTGGCAGAGCTGTGCGATTGGCTGAGGCTCGAGGCTGGCAGAGCTGTGTGAGGTGAAAACTGCGGCATGCAGGTCTTCCCAGTCTGAATTTGCGCTTAAGCTTCATATCTATTTGATTCTAACTCACTATGCTTTACTGTAAGATTTCTTTCTGCAGGAGATGGCACAGAGCAGGACGGAGCTGATTGTGATTTTGTCCAACAGTTGTAGAACCAGCAATAAAATAATTACATCTGAGCTTCAGGAAACAATACATTATGGAATGTTGTATCGCTCTAAAAACAAATATATAAACGTCAAAGGAAAACTTCTGTAAAATGCTCAAAAGCTGTAAAGAAAGCAGATTTTGCACTGATAATAAATCTGATCCCGGCTTCTTCACTACAAACGCAATCCCCAAAAACCATCTTGACTCTTTCTATTCCATCAAACCAATCCTTCACCTCTTCAGCCTCTGCTCTTTCAAAGCCCGAGTGCTGCTTCCTCTTTTTGTAATCTTTGTAAAGTGTGGTTCTGTCAAAACAAGGTCGGCCTCCCTCGGGGCAGAGCTGGGGGTCTCAAAGTCGGCCTTCACCAGCGACGACGTTTCAAGCCATCCTCTTAATGAAATTATAAAAACTGTGATTACTTTGGAGCAAATTTGATATTGCGTTAACGGCGGAATGTTCCGGGGGAAGGGCAGTGACAGGTCGGCAATTATGAAGAGAGGAACGGAGAGCTGTGACGGAGGAGGAAGGAAGAGAGTCGTTCATTTGTGAGTTAAAGAAGAGATGGAAACGAGACGGGGCTTTTCACTGTTTGTGGTAATGTTGGTTTAAGGTTCAGAGATGAATGGAGTTGACATACAGTGACACAGAGAAGAGGAGAGAGAGAGAGGAAAGAGGAGAGGGACAAGAAGAGGAGATGGAGAGAGAAGAGGAGAGACAGGAGGAGATAGAGAGAAGAGGAGAGGATAGAGAAGAGGAGATGGATAGAGAAGAGGCGTGAGAGGAGAGAGAGAAAAGGAGAAATGAGAGAAAAGGAGGGAGGAGAGAGAAGAGTGGAGAGATGAAAGAGAGAGGAGGAGAGGAGAGAGATGAGAGAAGAGGAGAGAGCATTTGTGTGGATGTGACTACTGATGTGTACCTTGCAAATTCAGAAACGGCAAAGAGAGAGAGAGAGGACATAGAGATAGAGAGAGAGGACGGAGAGAGAGAGAAAGGACAGAGAGAGAGAGAAAGGACAGAGAGAGAGGACATAGAGATAGAGAGAGAGGACAGAGAGAGAGAGAAAGGACAGAGAGAGAGACCGAGATCACTGATTTCACCGAGTTCTTTCCCTTTGTTTACTATTTGTTCCTGTCTTAATGCTTGTTAGCCGTCTGTATTTCCACCTATGATTCAATTAGATTTATATCTGTACAGCCCTGAATCACAGCAGTAGTTATCCCGGAGGACTTTTCAAAAACGCAGATTTTCCAACACAGATCAGAGAATCAAACAGTTCAAACACACCATTGGTCCAGAAGGGGCAGAGACCAAAGTCCATAAATGTTAACATATGTCCATACATTGAAAGACAAAAGCCCTGGATCATCACCACCATCCTTAGATCCTCTTGAGAAATAAATACCGAGCTGCTTTCCATAATTTCAAATCAATAATAATCAATAACGTGTCATAGATTACCACCAAAAACGCAAGAATGAAGTCGTATATTCTGTAATCGTCATCAAAAACATAAACGCCCAGAACTCTAATCCGAACGTGTGCCGTAAGAGAAGCCTGGAGATTTGCATAAACATGTATAATTAAAACGCATACGTTGATCCACGGGCAGATCCGGGGCTTGTTCTCTGACCCTATGGTGTCAATTAGGTTGGGTGAGCGAGGACAAGCGGAGCCCCAGGTCCCGTGATCGATGGTACGCTGCTTATCAGGCGCGCTCCGTTACAGACACCTAATTGCAATTGATCCCCTTGTTGTACTATTAATTGTGAGTCTTCTCTCCCACACGGGCGCCTCTCAGCAGCCGGCGCTCAAGTCTAAAACTAAAACTTCATTCATCAGTGGATCTGCATTGGATTCCGTTAGCAAAGTGCCGAGCAGGTAGTGCGCGCTAACCGACTGTAGAGCTGGGAGGCGTTTCGCGGCTCGATACTGGGAGTTCTCCGATCGAGGTGTTGGCAAAGACTTTACAGGAACGTGCAGTATGCCCTGACAACAGCGACAGAGAGTAAGTGATAGATTACTCAAATTAATCCTGAAAACACCCAGTTTGAGGAGATTTTGGGTGTTTTAAAGTGACATTTGACGACATTTATGGACATTGGTCATTTGCTGTTTATGGATCAATGTCTCTATGTGTTTTATATCAATGCATTTTTTGTGTTGAACTTGTGTTTGTGTTTGATTCACTGATCTGTGTTGGCGAAATAAACGGTTATGTATAGTCCCCCAAGAAAACCAGTGTTGTGATTTAAGGCTATACAAAAATAAAGTGATTTTAATCTACTAATCGCTCTTAGTGGTCTAATAAAGTCATTAGAATCACACTTTTGTGACTAGAATCTTTTGTCTGTGACACATCTAGCTCCAAAGCACCGGTTACTGATGCAATCCACCTGCTGTGCTTTAGCTAGAAATGATACTCTGATGTGATATATGTATTTTTGTGTCTGCTTTCATTTAAATGTGTGTGGGGCTAGTTTTGGCCTGTGAATAGCATTGATTAAACAAAAACGACGAGAGCCAAAGCCAAATAAATTTCCTCCAACAAACAATCTAAATGCCCTGCTGTATTCTGGTCCTCATGTCGTCCCCTGCTTTCCCCTTGTCCTCTTTTTGTACCCTCCTCTCCCCTGGTCCTCTTGTCCTGCTGGTGCTCTGCTTTCCCTTGGTCCTTAGGCTGAAAATTGTGGATATAATAAAAGTCAATGAAATTTCTGAAGTCTTTTCCTACAAACATTAGTATTGGCAAACGTCATCCACAACCAGGCATACATCCCACATTGTTATCAGCCTGAAAAATCCCCACATACCGACCCATCTCTAACCATGTGTCGTGTTCTCTCTGTAACATTCAGGGCAAAACAAATCTCCTGTTACGACAAACCACATTACACACTCTGCCGTCACCCCTCACCCACAGAGCGATGCTTCCCTGGGGCTGTACTCACACAAACACGATGGAAGCCGAGGCAAAGCGAGAGGCGGTGAGACTGTGGAGCTAACCGCTGTGAAGCTAGGCTCTCCCCGCGGCTGCATCACGAACGCAACCAGCTTATCCATAGGCCTCCAGCACCAGGCCTCCAGCACCAGGCCTCCAGCACCAGGCCTCCAGCACCAGGCCTCCAGCACCAGGCCTCCAGCACCAGGCCTCCAGCACCAGGCCTCCAGCACTAGGCCTCCAGCCCCAGGCCTCCAGCACCAGGCCTCCAGCACCCAGCCCCCAGCCTCCAGCCCCAGGTCTCCAGCACCAGGCCTCCAGCCTCCAGCCCCAGGTCTCCAGCACCAGGCCTCCAGGAGAAACCCGCAAGAAAGCCGGCGATAAGATCCCACCAGGAGACATTTATTACACAAGGATGAGGCGATAAAAACTTCAGGGATACAATAATGGGTTTTGTTTAAACTGTGATGAGCTGATACTACACGCTCGTAGGGAAGTCTCTCGCTGCAGATTTTCAAATATTATTCTATTATATTGAGATCCACTTCATGCAGAATGGCTCAGTACACACTGGCCGTTGTGATGTAGGGTTATACAAAAATAAATGGAATTGAATTGAGTTTGAAAAGGCTCCGAGCGTCATGTCAAGTCATCAGTGACCTTTCTGGGAGAGTGCCTTTGAACATACCTCTTTGTAAGAAAAACTTTACTAAAGGTAGCAACAGCCCATTATGTCTCTTTGGCTTTCCCTGGTCACTCTCTCTGGCCTCTCACTGGTCTCTCTTTCTCTCTGGCCTCTCTCTGAACCTTCTCTGGTCTCTCTCTGGCCTCTTTCTTAGAGCCCTGCACTTGCGTATGATTACCTATGACAGCTGGGCATCATAGAGCTGTGTATCATGCAGCTGTGTATCATACAGCTGTGTATCATGCAGCTGCTGCCGTACACACAGAACTCATTGCAACACATCACTACCATGTATAACTCCTCCTTCTAGCTGGGCCTGTGTTCATATCAGTGCGCGGCAACATATACTGTGCTAAAATATTGTTATGGGAGGTAAAAAATAAGAACAAAAAGTTGGCCTTGATACAGTTTCGGGCCTGAGAATTATTAGAAATATTAACATATATAACTTCAAGCCTGGAAACCCCTATCGCTGGACCACATTATGCATATTTTGACTGCAAATATTTAAAACCAAAATACTGCGAGTACATATTGTTTGTGTTCATTCATTATTCAATCACGCTCCAAACTGGACAGTGTTTGCTAACCTTTCTGACCACTCTCACCCACTCACCCACTCCCTCCTTTCCCATGTCTTGTGTAAGGATACAACCACTGCCCTCCCTGTGGTCAGACCTCCTGGTTATCGGACGTCCTCGTGAATCACTTTTGTACCGTTGTTTTGCATCTGAAGAATGGTCCAAACCAGATCCAAAAACCTCTCCATCCACATGAGGAGTATTTGCGTGGCGGTTATAGCTGGACATTTAGCTCTGCCAGACTGCCCTGAACTAATACGATTACTTCAGTCTCCTGCTGCTTTGCCTTTGAGAAATATTTGTACAAGCTCAAGCAATCCACCTAATGAAAATAAAGTCTCCCACCAGTCAAATACTTCATTCCAACTAAACTTAATTTGTCAGTGCACATCAACCGTTCACTCCTATCAATTCTACAAGTTTAATGCCGTTGTTGTTTTTCTTTTTGTTCTTTTTTCTCTGTCGTTTGTCATATTTATCAGCTTTTAACCTTATTACATATATCTTATTCCAACACGATTGATTGGAGTTAAAGCTGGGGTTCTCAACATTCTTGTTCATACATAATACTTTAACAACATTTGGACCAAACAACATGTAAGATCAAGTTCCATGGCCTCCTCCATCGGCACCTCAGGCCTCGGTCCTCGTTCTACAGCCTGAGTCCTGGATCAGATTCTCGCTTTTCTCCCGCTCAGATTTTGAGTTGTCTCTTGTTGATGCAGGAGGGTCTAAGGACAGAGGTGATGATCCAGGACACTCCACATTTAACAACATTTATGGACATTGGTGACCCGCCCCTTATGGACCAAAGGCTCTGTGTGTTTTTAAGCATTGGATTCACTGTGTTTTAACGATAACTTTGTAATGTCCTCCGTAAAAACTGCTGTTGTGACTTAGGGCTATACAAAAATAGATTGAATTGAACTGAATTTTTTATTTTTCCGTCTGAAAAAGCTGGTCTGAAGAAGTGACAGAGGCCAAAAATGCACGTCTGTGAAACCTGTGATAGAACCAAACTCGGTTGAGAGCGAGATAAATTACATGTTTCCATTTTTTGTTGTTAAAACCCCATTGGAATACAAGTACCCCAGTGTGCACCAGACAAGTGCAGAAATAAAACAAGCTAAAAAAGGGCAAGAAACAATCATCACAGTGAAATCAATCAACAGAAACAGTGTCAATACAAGATCATTACAGTTCTTTGTTTGGACTGATAACAGCTGAAAGAAGCTAGTAGCATATCCAGTTGTCCTACCAGAGGGAAGAAGCTGGAACATGGTTTTTCCAGGGGCCAAAAGAGTGAATATTCTAAGAGCTCGGTTTAAGAGTCTGCCTTGCATTTGGGGCTTTAGCGCTCGGACATGTCCTCTTTTACCTCCCACCAACTCAAATAACAAAGGATAAAAGAGGTTCCCCATGTTTGTGTCACATATGCCCTAATCTACAGTTGTATATGTGTGTGTGTGTGTGTGTGTGTGTGTGTGTGTGTGTGTGTGTGTCTACAGCAGATTAAGGATTGTGTCAAAATAGTCTCAGCCATAACCTTTCTTGGATCGTGTGAGCTCGACCAACTCTTTTCAAGACAGTCCCTATAAGCTGCTTTGACTTTGCCGCACTGTAGATTCAGATCTGTCTAAACACGTATTTCCTTTTTTTCATTCCAACCACGGTAAAGATATATTTTGATTTAGTAGTTGCCTCAAAAATGGACTAGTCTCGAGTTGAAGCAAATTGAATAAGAAAAATGATTTCAAAATTGCATTGACGTTGATTGACAGACTTCCATTGTCTTCCAAGTGTGAGGCATTGAAGGACACCAGTTTGGTCCAGTTTCCAACTATAGATCGTTCTAAATAAGGAGCAGAAACACTAATATCTTGCTTTCCCAGTTCAATCCAAACACAAGGAACTCGCAGGTGGAAGATGCCATAGTGGCTCCAACTCCAAACATCCCTCCTGGTAGTTTTAAAGCTTCAGACACTCGCAGACAAACCGTGATTTTAAAGAGTTTTTGAGCAATATGTCTGCTTTAAAAGAGCGCGGTGCAGAGGGCTTTGGAATGAGGGAGGATGTGCATTTGCAGTGAGGTAATTAGAGTCTCAAAATAAACAACAGGTCCTATTGTTAACAGGTTTACAGTCTGTCGAACACAGACAAGAGCATATGTGTGTGAGGCAGGTGCCGCGGGAGAGGTGCAAATAAGCACAGAGGGGTTTATTATTCAGAGTAATTTATAGTTTAGGCAAGCGTTTATCGAAAGCACAGGGTTACCGAAGGGTTCAGGCCTCACAGCAAGACAGTTTTGATTCCCTGGGCTTTCTGTGTCTTGGGGAGTCCAGACGCTCCGGTCCTCATCAAGTCAAGCATCAACAAAACGGACAATAAAATACACCTTACATTACTGGTGGATGAACTCATAGGGAAGACCAAGGCTATGTTTGTCCAGATAAAACCAGATCAGAGGGTCAGGAATGTCTCCATTAATACCAAAAGAGAGATCCTTGAATCTAATGTAAAGGGCATTTTACTATGTGGCTATTATCCATCCCGCTATATACTGTAAATTAACTCATTAACTCAAGGCTGCGCTACACTCTTGGAATTTGGTGGCTTGAGAAAATCATTAAACAAGAACTGCTCGCAGGTTAGATGCTTGTCAAAGTTAGTCAATCAAAAGCATACTGACATTTTCTTTTAATTGTGTCACAAAATCCCATATATGGCACTCATGCAGCTGTGAGATGGTAAACATTTGACATTCAGCCAACTGCAGTTTTGGTAGAGCTAATTTAAAAGCTCAGAACAGCATGAATCCGGTCAAAATAGTTGTTCAATCCGGGTTGTCACATCAAAGCAATTGCCATTTTTTTGTGTAAAGCCCCAAATCACCGGACGACCTCACAAAGTCATCAATTTGCCAACACAGCTCAGAGAATCAAACATATAATGAGAAACACATGAAGTCATAGGTCCATAACTCTTACTAAAATGTATGGACACCCCTGTTCCGTAATATCGTCTTGTCTTGAGTTTTGAGAAGGAGACAAAGGGATAACTTCACTGTAAACCACAAAGTTGTATTTGTGGAGAACCGTTAACTGGAGTACGGTTTGTGAAGTGGGATCCTGCTGTGTCCCTCTGCTGATGTCACAGCGACAGGTCTGCTGCTGCTCTCCTCGTGTCGTCAACATTTATAAATAAAGATTTGAGCGACTTGACAAGCTGTTTTCAAAACGCTGTCCCTGCGAGAGCTCAATTTACAGGTTGTCTGAGGAAAATATGTTTTAATTAAAAAGCAACACGGTGATTAGCCTCAAGAAACGCTCCAGAAAGTTTCCAGAAAGTTTCCAGAGAAATTAAAGCAGGTCTCAAGCAGGTCTAAAGCAGGTCTAAAACTGGACTTAAGACGGACTAAAGCAGGTCTAAAGCAGGTCTAAAGCAGGTCTAAAACAGGTCTAAAACCGGACTTAAGATGGGTTAAAGTAGGTCTAAAGCAGGACTAAAGCAGGTCTAATGCCGGTCTAAAGCAGGACTAAAGCAGGCCTATAACTGGACTTAAGATAGACTAAAGCAGGTCTAAAACCGGACTTTAAGATGGATTAAAGCAGGTCTAAAGCAGGACTAAAACAGGACTAAAGCAGGTCTAACACGGGTCTAAAGCAGGAGCTACCTGGCAGAATGTGGCGAGCTATAGGTTTGAGACCTATAGCTCCCGGCGCTACAAGTTTGCTCAAGTAAAATCCACCAACTTTGAACGGTTAAACATTTCCCCTGAAGGCGGACCGGCTGAACTTGTCTGTGGCGTGACTGGACGTGTGATAGTTTGGGTTTGTGATCTGCCAATAGTGGTCTTCCTCAGACACCCCCCCCCCCCTCCCCGTTGCTAGCCGCGGTGGCACCTCATTGAGCATGTTAGCGCGGCGCGGCGGGACCATCGCACGCCTCATAATTCCCTTTTCATGCACAGCGGCTCGAGCGCTGCCATCGATTATCGGGTGTTTTTGAAAGCTTCCCCGTGAACAAGTCAATGCTCTCACCTCAGCAGGAGAGAAGTCAATGGGCCTCCCCAAATCACACTCAGGCCTAAAAATACCACAGGGAAGCAGCGGACACAC